TGCTCCTGATCATTTATCCTGTCATTTCCTGTTTTTTTTTCTTCTCCTAAATATTGGTGCTCAGTAGGCTTTATCCATTGTTAGATTTTCTTCCTACACGTCTTCCCTGGGCATCACTCATTCTCATGGCTTCAATTAAATCTATACGCAAGTGATGTACCATTATTTAAGTTAGAACTTCAGAAAATACTAAACTAATTGCTTGCTTTTAAAAATTAAGTGACCACTAGGATTCTGTTTAAATTCTTGGAACCAATTTTACAATATTTCTCTATTTTACAGCTGTCATTTTGCATTCCTTTTTTAATGTGTGGCTTTTAGCATGCTGCTGGTTTGTAATAACTTTAAGTAAAACAAGAGATTTTAAAAGTTCTCAGAATGCTCTGGCATCCACTTTAGCTGCTTAAAGACATTCCTTATCTCCTAACATATGAACCTGTTAAACTATACAAAGGCCCTCCCCTGTGTCTCCATCCTGCAGACTCCCAGCTCAAATACTACTACTTTTAAAAAGTCTTCCCTGACAACCACAGGCTTAGCTGTTCCCCACTCCATGAAGTCATACCCTATACCTTTATTGTACCTAGTATATTTTAATTAATTTTTTACCAGTTATTTTCCAGGACCACACTGGAAATTTCCTCTGGTATTCTTATTGAAATATATAAGGCTGGTGTCTAGTAATGCAGAGTTATTTTTTTAGGAACCTTTCAAAGGTATTTAAAGAAACAAATGTAGCCATAAGTATTCCATGAAATTTTCACAGTCTCAGAAAAAAAGTGATCACTGACTATCAAGATTACACAGAAGTACTCAAATAATATCAATATGGGTTAAATGTCAAACTTCTAAATTTTTACTAATTTCATGATTATAACTTACAGATACTCAGGAAAGTAAAGGTTTTTTGTGTTTTTTAAGGCTAATAGAAAGGTATCAGGAATTCTTCTCCTCCCTTGAAGAAGGGAGGAAAAGGGGGAAAGAACCTACAGACTTAAAGCAACTCAGAAACTTATCACATGTAATAGGTTTGGATCTATATTCAAACTGACAAACTGTTATTGACGAGGGAGAGGGAGGGAAGGAGAGACAGAATTTGAAAGAATAGCAGAAAAACTTGAGTATGCCCTAATTCTTCACAAAATTAAGGAATTATTCTTTGTAGGTGTGATAAAAGGATTTTTTTTAATGCATCAGCTTTTTGAGATAAATACTGAGGTATATTTGTAGATAAAATAATGCAATATTGGTCTTTCTGTCAAAATAATGGGGGTAGCAGTGAAGAGTACAGAAGAAACAAGATGGGTTGTGGGGTGATGGTTACTGACACTGGGTGTTGAATAATTGTAGTTTCTTTATATTTTTCTCTCTACTTCCATACATGCTTGAAATTTTCCAGACTAAAAAAGGAAGAAAGCATTAGTAAAGATTCTGTTAATTCTATGGCTGGGTGTAGCTGCTCCCCACTGCTTTCTGACTTTGGACGGCCTCCTATCCAACAGGTGTTTCTGTTCCCACAACGGGTTGTGACATACCATGCATTCCTCTCTGAGGTTCATGGCCTTATACAGACACCATCTAATTCTCCCTTCTACACTGCACTGGGCACCCAACCTTGTCACCCTTTTCCTACCTAAGACCGAGACCCGATCAACCTTCATCACAGCTGAAGAGTAAATCAATAAGTCAGCTAGAAACAGCTCCATGAACCATGCTATCTATATCCTACAGCCTGGAGCTAAGGCCACGTTCCAGTTTTGTTTTTTTTTTTTTAACCTCATCAATTCATTTCAAGCAACTAAAATGGAAAGAGAATGTCAAGACAGATGGTAGTCAGTGTTTCTGTACAGCTGAAGTCCAGCATCACTCTGCCCGGACTCTCTCTTCCTCCAGATTCCAGGACGATGCCTCATCTAGTCCCCTGCAGAAAAGGCCTTCAGCACTTCACCACTATTTATACAACTTCCCCGTCCCACTCTGGCTCTTCAGCCTTCACTTTGTTTTGTAGCACATATCACTGCCTGACAATATACTATACGTTTACTTACTTATGACCTCCCCTTGCTAGACTGTGACTCCCAAGAAGGCAGAGACTTTGCTTTGTTTGCCTCTATGGTCTCAGATTCTAAATGGTAAGTGCAACATAAAAGATCAATAAATATTTGCTAAATGCTCAGGATTCCAGGAAAGAATAACTAAATATCAAAGAGGGTTGAGAACAACAACAAAAAGTGATTTTTTTTTTTCTTGTTTTTGAAAAAAAAAACCTCCCCTTGCTAGACTGTGACTCCCAAGAAGGCAGAGACTTTGCTTTGTTGGCCTCTATGGTCTCAGATTCTAAATGGTAAGTGCAACATAAAAGATCAATAAATATTTGCTAAATGCTCAGGATTCCAGGAAAGAATAACTAAATATCAAAGAGGGTTGAGAACAACAACAAAAAGTGATTTTTTTTTTTTCTTGTTTTTGACCGGTAAGGGGATCGCAACCCTCGGCACAGTGTCGTCCGCACCACGCTCAGCCAGTGAACGCACCGGCCATCCCTATATAGGATCCGAACCCGCGGCCTGGCACTACCAGCGCTGCACTCTCCCGAGTGAGCCACAGGGTCGGCCAGGAAAAAAAAAAAATGATACTCTTAAAAACTAAGAACATACCCCCATCACTGACCCATACACCCACACCACATAGGAGAAAGGTGACATCAAAAGGCACTGTTTTTATCCACTATCATATTTAGTTTTCCCTAAATAGGTGAAAAATCAGTGATTCCTGGATCGCAGGAATAATGGTTGGATCTGTCAGTGTCTATCGGCGTGCGCCAGAAAAACCTAAGGACCACAATCTCCTCACATGTCTTCTACAGTACTTATAATAGATACAAATTACCTCGGAACTTAGGGAACAGCACAAATTATATTACAGCTTTTGGAGGACATACGTCTCAGTCCCTTTTTAAACAAAATCAGTGTCTTCTTCCTACTTCTGCCCCTACTGCAACTTTATCCAATAGAAACCCCCACCAGCCACCACCCAGGAGATTATAGTAACACCTATGAAGCTGGCTACATGGAGGGTCGGGGTGGGGAAGGTCTAGCTTGCCTGCTTATCATGTACCAGCTCTTAGTTTGCCATGTGATTTGGACAAGGTACTGTGCCTCAGCTTCCTCATCTGCAAAATGAGGAGCAATGACAGCATCTACTTTATAGGGTTGATGTGAGAATTAAATGACTCAATATTAAGAAAACAGCTTAAAACAATACCTGGCATACAGTCAAAGTCAATTATCTTAACTATCATGTTCAATATTATTTCTACCACATCAGAACCCACTCATACACATATACTTTAGCATAATACTAGGTAACTGGCTCATTCTCAAGAACATAGAAAAAATAGTTTGTAATTTTTTTGAGGCCTTAAAAACTTGGTGAGGGGCCGGCCCGGTGGCGCACTGGAGAGTGTGCCGCTTGGGAGCGCGACGGCGCTCCCGCCGAGGGTTCAGATCCCATGTGGAGACCGGTTCCTGCTCACTGGCTGAGCGCAGTGCAGGTGCAACACCGAGGGTCGCGATCCCGTTGCCAGTCCCCGGTACGGGCGCGACACCGAGGGTTGCAATCCCGTTACCGGTCAGTAAAAAAAGACAAAAAGGGAAAAAAAAAAAAAAACTTGGTGAGAATAGTGTCATTATCTGGTGGCAATTCTACTGTAGGTCTTTGTTGAATGAACAGTTATTATTAGGAAGGAAATGCAAGCTTTTAAGAAAGCCATGCAATTATTATTCAGTACCCCCAAATTCATTGCTGAGCATATATTAAACAAGGTCATTGTTGGGAAAATATAGGAAAATGGTCAGGACCCCTCAGATGTTCAGAATCCTGCCAAGCATTTGATGCAAATATGCACGTGTGCCCAGATGTCCCTTGGTTATTGTCTAATGTAATTCACATGTGCACCCAGGTGTCCTGGGTTAATGGACTTAAGTATAAAGGATGAGTGGCTCTGATCCACGGGGCCCCCTGCCCCTGGGGGGGGGGCGGGCCATGGGGAGGCCACTACTGCTGCTGGAGGCTGTTGCTACCAGTGCCCCCGGGATGGCCTGAGAGGCCGCTGCCGCCAGATCTGCTATAAGCTGCTGCTGCTGTTGCTAAGGAAGCTGAGGACTGAGCTCGTGTTGTCTGCTAATAGCTCCCGGGATCTTTCCCAATTACCTAGTGTGGACCTGCATGTAAGGGGTCTGGTGACCCAGTCTGTACAATGCGTTTGAAGGGTCGGAGCCCTAGCCCTGACAATACAATGGAAAACTTAGTGTAACTAAAATAATGAAACATTTTGGCTTTAGTTATGAGTCACACAGCCATACAATTAGCGTAGCTATTGCCTCAACTTGGCAATTTGCATAGTCATCTAGCGTGACAGTCATCCACTCAAGGAACTCAGCATTAGCACTGGGCACAGGGAGATCATCTGGCAGAGGTGGTACCTATTCTTATTACAGTTATGATCATGAACCTCAGTGCAAAGTGGGGCCTCAGACACTTCCAGGTCTGAGTTCTCTCCCTCTCCACACAGCCTAGAAATCTACAGAACCACTAGTGAGGCTGTAATACCACCCTACTGTTCCCTCTGCCTATACATAAGCTTTCTGCTTTTATCTCCTTGATATAGTAAGGTTCTGCATGAAATTCTATTTAAATGAAAGTATGCTGCTGCTAACAAAAGGCTAGAATGCACTGATATAGTCCAGCCCTCCATTTTATGAATAAAGAAACAGGGCCTTGGTCTAAAGGTCCTGCAACTTGTCCAAGATCTGACCATCGTCAGCACCACCAAAGAAACTAGAAATCAGTTCCTGAAAGCTTGTCCACTGCTCTTTCCTCTCCAACACACTACTGCACCCACAGAGAATGTATCGAAGCTTCTATCAGAATCAGCTTCTAAACCCAGATTATCTCCCCTTCAAAATCTGACTTACTAATTTACAAACCTTTCAACTCACCATAATTTCTCTCTGTTCTTCCAGATTCTTCAAAAAATTTGAAAATTCACGTAAGGACGCATCTGTAAGGATAAAGAAATGATTATTTGGTGGCCAAAGAAAAGGAAAGCAAAACAAAAACCCATTTTTACTTACCTATGCAGCGTTCATCATCAGTCTCTGCATCACCAATAAACTCAAATTTAAAGTCTCTGAGTGAATGAGCAAATTTCCGCTGGGCTGCTGAAAGACCTAGACAGAAAGGTGTAATGATTAACTTGGTTCCTTGTTTTAAGTTTAGGCTTAGAAAAAAATCTATTCCTCCTAATATTACTAGAGCTGTAGAGCTCTTCTCCACTCCTTTGCCAAGAGGCCCATCATCCTCAACCTGGCGCACTCTCAGCTGCCTCTGTCAATCTGTGAGAAGACACAACCTAACTCCTTTGCCAAGAGGCCCATCATCCTCAACCTGGCGCACTCTCAGCTGCCTCTGTCTTCTTTTCTATACTTTGGCACAGAACACAGGCTACAGAAATGTTTATTCCCTCCTTCATCTTCCTCTTCCTCAGATCTGATTATTTCACACTGTTCCCTAAAACATTTCTTTCTCTGCTCATTCAGGTCAGAACTTGCCTGATACTAAGTTTCAGGCTGGGATTAGGAATACGCACACCTGATCCTATCTCTTAGGGCTTGAAGAGACCCGACTGCCTGCCATAGTTTCAAACAAAAGGGTCTCAAAAGGGCAAGGCCAACCAACCAGGTGCTCTTAACTGCCCAGTGAGTCAAGTCTACTGGAAATAAACAAACACTGAAAAAAACAAATGGCTGCTGGTTTAAGCCACTAGGTTTTGGGGTGATTATTTACAAAGAAATACATAATTAATATGGAAAGATTAATAAAGTTTGACTGTATTAAAGTTTTAAAAACAAAAGAATGAAGATAAGTGCACATCCAGAAAACATAACTGCTACAAATCAATTAGATAAGGCAGAAACAGAAACCCCAACAAAAAAAAAAAAATCTAGACTTGAATTTTTAGGTCCTCGATCTGTGGACAAATGGGAGAGAAAATGAGGCAACATAATTCTTCCTAGGGTTAGGAGCAGTTTGAAAGATGAGTTATATTTGAGACCTGCTGCATTTGAGATATAGGGTATCACATGGAAATCCAATCACAGTTTAAATTCATATTTGGAGAACCTCCAGACTCTGGTCTAAATTGCCACTGCTTTCCCTTTGCTATGGATCGAGTGTGTCACCCAAAAGTTCACGTGTTGGAAATTTGATCTCCACTGTAACAGTGTTAAGAGGGTGGGAAATCTGACTATAGTATTTGAAATGTGGGACCTTTGAGAGGTGATTGGATTATTAGGACTGTGTGCCCTTGTGAATGGATTAATCCATTCTTGGAGTAATGAGTTATCATGGGCACGGACTGGTGACTTCATAAGAAGAGCACATGAAAGAGTTCTTGCCATTCTCGCCATGTGACACCCTGCATTGCCATGGGACTCTGTAGAGAATTCCCACTCAGAAGAAGGCCCTCACCAGATGTGTCCCCTGGACCTTGGACTTACCAGCCTCCAAAACTGTAAGAAATAAATTTCATTTCTTTACCAATTACCCAGTTTCAGGTATTCTGTTATAAGCAACAGAAAATGGACTAGTACACCCTTGATGATTCTATAAATGAGAAAATCATTTCTTATAGCAGAGCCACCTATTAACATAGTTAAGACCATGAAATATTATACAAATATAGGGACTTGGCTAGGGTGGATGAGAAGCCTCTCTGTTTGGGTTGCTTTACCTTGACTGTACTTAATTTAGGCAGCACTGTGGGTGCATTATAACCCCTAAGTTATAAGATTGTCCTAGTAATGAGGTCATAACTACTATCTCCTACAACTTCCCTCCCCAGCAACCTAAGCACTAATGGGGACACTTGAAGAAATGTGTCATGTCTATAATCCTGGGCTTAAAAAGAAAAATGAAAAAGTGAATAAAGGCACTTTTCTCACTCATTAAATTTGAAATACAGGATTCTTTACAAATCATATTAGATTCCAAAACCCTCTTTTAAATAGATAAATTGTACCTTTTATCCAAAATTACCAGAGGCTAAAAGAATATTTTAAAGATGGTGTTTTATATGGCCAGGATAGGATGCTCTCTAGAAAGTTAAAACTTAAATGCATCAGTTTTCCAGCATTTATTTTCATAGTTCCCAATTTTGTTAGTTGAAAATGTTTATAATAGATTAAATTTGAGTTCATTTGCATAGCTAATCAGATGTACTTCTACGTAAACAACATGCATTACTCCTGTGCTAAGTAATGTAGTTATGTCATTTCTTAATTTTAACATATAAGCATTTTCCATCACTCATTTTTCCCCTTCTGTCAATCTCCGGGTGTTACTACAATTCATTAGGCAAGATTTTCACTGTTTAAAAATTTGACCCCAAACTCCACTCCTTTTAATAATTACAAATTCAATCGCCCTTCCATTACTTAGTACATTTTAAATTTATTTATTCTCCCATGTAGTTCATACTTTGATATATTCAGCCTTTCCAAATATCATATAAAAAGCATAAGATTTACTAAAATTTAATGCAGTCCATTAAATGTTTTTTCCTTTCCATTATCACTGTGCATGAAACTCAACCAGTTTCCAATTGACTAGTTACAAAGATCAGCAACATACCTCTACTGGGGGAAGAGGTGAGAGAGGGGGACCACTACAGGAAACTAACCTTTACTGAGTATATGCTCTGCACTAATTGACTTACAAATATTATTTCAGTTACTCCTTATTATAAACCAGTGGGGTAGGTATTGTTGATACCCTTAAAAAAAAAATGGCACATTCAGAGACAGATTAGTGACTTGAGCAAGGTCACAGACCTCTTTAGACTATAGGTAATAAGTCCTGGAAGCACAGGATCAACTCAGACTTCCATGAATGTCCTTTCCATTACACCATTCTGACTTTCAAGAGATTTCACATTACTCTTAGGCCCTTTGCCCAGATCTCAACTGGTATGAAGTCATCAGGCTCTCTGAATGGCACTAATGAAGAATTCTAACTAAATGGAAAACTCATATTGAGTATGTGTGCCTCCTTGCCCCCCATCCTCTCCTGCCTTCAAGTTCCTGAGTGTTGTGAATTAACACTGCTCTTGAAACGCCTTCAAGGCTGGTATATATTGGTGGATAATGCCAAGCCTGAGTGTGCACAAAAAAGCATAGCTAACTGAAAAGAATTAATGTGACTTGCACTCTTCAAACGAACTTGCCACTTATGAGTCCTCTAGACTTGAATTTTTAGGTCCTCGATCTGTGGACAAATGGGAGAGAAAATGAGGCAACATAATTCTTCCTAGGGTTAGGAGCAGTTTGAAAGATGAGTTATATTTGAGACCTGCTGCATTTGAGATATAGGGTATCACATGGAAATCCAATCACAGTTTAAATTCATATTTGGAGAACCTCCAGACTCTGGTCTAAATTGCCACTGCTTTCCCTTTGCTATGGATCGAGTGTGTCACCCAAAAGTTCATGTGTTGGAAATTTGATCTCCACTGTAACAGTGTTAAGAGGGTGGGAAATCTGACTATACTATTTGAAATGTGGGACCTTTGAGAGGTGATTGGATTATTAGGACTGTGTGCCCTTGTGAATCGTGTTGGAAATTTGATCTCCACTGTAACAGTGTTAAGAGGGTGGGAAATCTGACTATAGTATTTGAAATGTGGGACCTTTGAGAGGTGATTGGATTATTAGGACTGTGTGCCCTTGTGAATGGATTAATCCATTCTTGGAGTAATGAGTTATCATGGGCACGGACTGGTGACTTCATAAGAAGAGCACATGAAAGAGTTCTTGCCATTCTCGCCATGTGACACCCTGCATTGCCATGGGACTCTGTAGAGAATTCCCACTCAGAAGAAGGCCCTCACCAGATGTGTCCCCTGGACCTTGGACTTACCAGCCTCCAAAACTGTAAGAAATAAATTTCATTTCTTTACCAATTACCCAGTTTCAGGTATTCTGTTATAAGCAACAGAAAATGGACTAGTACACCCTTGATGATTCTATAAATGAGAAAATCATTTCTTATAGCAGAGCCACCTATTAACATAGTTAAGACCATGAAATATTATACAAATATAGGGACTTGGCTAGGGTGGATGAGAAGCCTCTCTGTTTGGGTTGCTTTACCTTGACTGTACTTAATTTAGGCAGCACTGTGGGTGCATTATAACCCCTAAGTTATAAGATTGTCCTAGTAATGAGGTCATAACTACTATCTCCTACAACTTCCCTCCCCAGCAACCTAAGCACTAATGGGGACACTTGAAGAAATGTGTCATGTCTATAATCCTGGGCTTAAAAAGAAAAATGAAAAAGTGAATAAAGGCACTTTTCTCACTCATTAAATTTGAAATACAGGATTCTTTACAAATCATATTAGATTCCAAAACCCTCTTTTAAATAGATAAATTGTACCTAGAAGCTCACATTCCTTTGCATGTAGAGACCCAAATAGTTAGATTATCAACTATTCAAAGGACTGCCAAGGAAACTGCCCCCCATCTGCACATCAAAACATGTACCAAATTCTTCAATGTTATATTTAAAGAAGAACAGGGTACAGACTCTAAGAACTTAATGTTTTTCATGCCAGACTCATGCCAAAGAAACAATGCTGATATTAATCCAAGTAACTTGGAAGTGAAACAAAATTCCTCTAAGGATATAGACTGGCTTCATATTTTCCTTCATGTTTTCCAGATTTACAAAACCAGTAGTGGTCCTATATGCAAGAACAGCATTATGGCTTCTCTATACAAATCAAAAAAGGAAGTAAATAACTCATTTTGTGTGTTTAAAAAATGTTGCAAACATCTGATAAGCCCAGAATGCATTACTGGGCTAGTCAAGGCCTGAAGACCAAATCCCAGGCTGTTGTAACAGCTCACGCGCCAACAGTCTCTGGTGCTGTTAAGGCATTCCTGGCCCTAACTCTCCAAGTCCAGCCTACCCATGTTCTCTGCGTAGTGAGGTGGTTTTAATCACAGATTCAGAATGACTTGAAGTGACAAATGTATGGGGTAAAAGGAAAACTAGCTGAGCCCACGAAGGTGCATATGCCCCAAAACAAATCCATAAAACTGGAGCACAAGGCTAAAAGCCCAGTATGACACATAACACACAACCAAATAATATTTACCAAAATAGCC